TTGCTTCTCCGGGTGTGAATTCTAGTCTACATGCATGTACTTCATACTCGTTCTCTTTTTTTCGCGTAGACGTACCTGAATTACTATGAGAAGCAGATTTCCTTATCTTCAGATACCACTGCGAAGTAGAAGGATTGTAAGTTAAATGTTCTGCTACTGTTTCGTCAGATATATTTACTGTTAAATGATGACCACATTCGAATGCAGCATTCCAAAAAACGGTGGTGTTGGCATCGAGGTCTCGGTTACAGGATGCACAGTGCCAGTTCCTATAAGTGATGTTGGTACTCCTGCTCGTGACCGGGGCGTCGAGCAGTGGGTCACGGTGATTGGTGTCGGGGTGTTCGCATCGGTTGCGGGTGTCGGAGTCCTCCCAGTCTGGAGGACACCGCGTCATCACGTATATAATTTCTCCAAAGAGATCCATGCATGTGAAGGGGGAGGCCCCCAGACGTTGTTCTTCTGGGGCGAAGTACGGGGAACTACGACAGCAGTCCCCGTATCGAGCACATTCAGGATCGCAGCCACATGATTTAAACTGTTGGTATTCGTTGCAGTTTAACCTGTGAAGAAAAATACCAAGTTATTGTATAATCATTTATTATGCCTCATTCGTTAATATTTATCATTTTAGTCGTGTCGGAAAATTGAGCGAAGCCATAAAAATTACTGCATCTGGTGTTAACGCGTTAGTAAATGTTTACAGATCCTTGTACACTTGTGTATATTTCGCAGGTTTTCCACATGATTCCTATTTCTCAGGTCAAGAAGTAAAACTATTTGGAGTTTCAGTCCTAACTCAGCAGTTTTTGTAAGATACCTTTCCGAGTGGACACGTGGAATATTTAACATCCTAAACATAGGCGTTCATTTAAATATATGATCTTCTTTGAGTGTTAGCTATTAGATTCAAGAGATGGTGGAAAGCGTTGACTCTATTTATAAGAATTAACATAATCGAAATCTGTAGCAGTGGAATTTATGCACGAGAAATTTTGAACTTCATTCTATGACTGTTTTCAATTCATGTTATTACGGTAGCGAGTAGGATTTATATATTTTGTGTGTAGTTTAGTGGAAATTCAACGATGTTTCAGAGGTACTCACTGCATCTCCTTGATGGTGGGGGCAGTAAACACCTCTGAAACACCTGTCACATTTTACGAGGCTGAACAGCGCAAAAACTCAAAAGACAGTCATGTTCATGGGTTGAGGATGTTTGAGAAAGTGTTGCTATGGAGAACATTTGGATTTGAGAGGCAGGAAGTGACTTGAAATGGGCGTGGCATGTGGCACGCATTGGAGATATTAGAAATGCACACAAGTTTTGGTCAGGAAACATGAAAGGAAGAGATAATTTGGAAAATCCAGGCGAAGATGGTAGGATACTATTAAAATTGGTCCGGTGTATATAGTGTGAGAAGATGTGGACTGGATTATTTTGGCTGTGGATAGGGATCAGTGGCTGGGTCATGTTAGCGTGGTTATGAATCTTCTAGTTCCACAAAAGGCGAGGAATTCGTTGATTAGGTGATGGAATGTTAGTTTCTGAAGAAGGGCTGTGCCCATGTAGTTACAGCACCTGGCTATAAGAACAAACATTTCTTATTTTTTCAATAGTTTGTTTATTTCGTGTGCTTATCAGTGGATTGTTTCATGGCATAATACATTTGAATGTTTCGTAAATATTTTGTATGTCTTAAGAGACGAAGGTAATATAATTGTCATAAATTAAAATTTTGTCTTCTGTGATGCCATGCTGTGAACTGGCTTTCGGAATTCGTCTTGCAGATCACCATTACTTGTCACTGTTTTGCACTTTTTATATTTTGTGATATTGTTGGTGGATGAGCCAGATCCACTCTTGAGAGTTTATAGCTGCCATCGTTTCTCCTGAGGTCCTGAGCTTGCCAGACGCGATCTTCCTCAGAATCGTAACCCTGCCGGTTGGTGATATAGTTAACCACAAGATCGCTTCACCTCTATATACTACTCCTGTTCCCAAACCCCCACTACAAGTATCGTTGCTTACCAGCTTCGTAAAATTTCTAAGGAGATCAACTGCAATGTACGTAATTGATATTAATATAACATGTAAAAGATATTAATTATAAGGAAACTCATGTTGCAAATGGTCCTGTTTTTTGTATGAGTAGTTCCAAATTTTCAAACTTGTGTTACATACAGTTTTAATTCTGCCTTAGACGTGTGTTAGTTTTTTAATATATATTTTAGTTTAATTCAGTCCCAACACCATTTGGCACAGAAATATGTTGCCAAAATAAAAACAAACTAATTTAGAGAAAAATTAAATGTTTTGAAGACCAAGTTTGTGAACGACGACGTTACAACCCAGAAGACCGACATCAATAAGTTGGATTTAGGTTTGGGGATATCAACGTTCTGAGATGTTAACGCAGTGTGGTCTGACAGAAACTGACCGAGTTTTCGGAGGAGCTTTCTGTCTCTATCATCAGGGCGATGACGGAGGCGTCCGTCCGTCAGTTTCTGTCAGGCTACACGGCGAAAAAAAATTCAGAAAGCAGACAACCTCAACTTCGATAAGTTCACAGTAGTGAGGTCATTTTAATACCTTGCGACAAATACGGGAGAATGGGTCGTATATTTCAGATCTCATGCAGGTCCGTTTTTTGAAGCGAAGGACCTTGGTGAATGACAAATCAGGATAGTAGCCATATTCAAATTCGGGGCATGGCATCACTTCAGACCGGTTGTTGCACAGCATACAGTGAGGATTACGAAAGAACTTTCTGTCCTCGGTACACACGCGGGCTGTGTACGTTTCGCATTGTTCTCTAACCTCAGCGTCGTTCCAGTCCTCAGGACACGTGCTTATAATAGCCATATGAAGTTCGCATGACCAACGGTGTTTCAGTTGTATTCCCGACGGTATGAACTTAAGGTTACATGCGTATTCTTCTTCATAACTGTTCTCATTTTCACTGTTTTGCGTAGTTTCTGGAGTAGACATAACTGATTTAGTGTCAGAAGCAGATTTCTTTATCTTCAGATACCACTGCGAAGTAGAATGATTGTAAGTAAAATGTTCTGGTACTGTTTCGTCAGGTATATTTATATAAAGATTACGAACACCGCATTTGAATTCAGCGTCCCATAAGGCTGTGGTGTCGGGATCGATGTCGCTGTTACAGAATGCACAGTACCAATTTCTGTAAGTGATGTTGGTACTCTTGCTCGTGACCGGAGCGTCGAGCAGTGGGTCACGGTAATTGGTGTTGGCGTGTTCGCATCGGTTGCGGGTGCCGGAGTCCTCCCAGTCTGGAGGACAACGCGTCATCACGTATATAGATTTTCCAAAAAGATTCATGCATGTGAAGGGGGAGGCCCCCAGACGTTGTTCCTCTGGGGCGAAGTACGGGGAACTACGACAGCAGTCCCCGTACCGCGCACATTCAGGATCGCAGCCACATGTAGTCATTCGCTCCTTTCGTCCTTCGCAAGGTGGCCTGTCAAAAGATAAGTCACTTGTAAGTGCGTTGTTTGTATTGAACCTTTGTATATGATCTTCAGGAAGGTATTAAGTTAGTTTTGAGATACCTGGCGGTTTTAGTATTACTTGGACGAGTTATGGCTTCAGACGGTTGTCTAATTCTGGCTGTTTCATGTTCAGTGAAGGGTCTGATTCTTCTATTAATCGATAATGTTGTATCAGTAGGAAATGATGGAACTCACACGGTTGATGTAATAATTGTGTTTGGTTTATGAAAATGTTGTATTCGCATGAGTGTTATCCTAAATTGTCATAACACCGCGGGCCAAGAATTTACACATATTTTGATCCTGTGTCTTAAGATAGGATAATAGTCTTGTTGAGAATATGTTTTGTTGTTTATGATAGAACAATTTTACATCTTTTTATATAGCAGACATTTTTCCCGCCGACAAGTTTCGAGTTTGTTTTACACTTGCTTTCTACAGAGGTTGACGCTGTTTGGTAAAAGATGCAGGTAAAATTGTTACTGTGTAATCTGGCAATATCCTTTTTTTTTTGGCTTCGTTTGAAGAGATGTTGAAAGGTAATAGACGCGCTAGGAGGTCGTCTCCTTTGCTTCAGAGACTTTCGGTAACAGTAATTGAACGACGTCATAACATTTGTTCCATAAAACGATACACGTAAGATCGAGTTATCGAACGTATACATGTAGCCTCGATTTGCGCCGGTCCAATTTGCGCTGATTCCGATTACGCCGGTTCGTAAAGAAACACATCCCCGGCGTAAATTGAGGGCTACCTGTACATGTGTGTATAAATTCATCGCCCTGATGACGGAGG